TTTTTTTTTTTTTTTGGTACCAGGAATCAAACTCATGACCTCACACTTGCCAAGCAGGCACTGTGCTGCTGAGCTATACTCCCGGCCCTGATAAGATTCTTGAAGTTAGCCTCTCTCCATTCCTCATTTATTGAACACATCCAGATGACAGGTCCTGGGAACAAAACAAAACAAAACAAACCTCATGAAAACATGTGGTTTTTGATGGCAGTAAATGCAGTAGAGAAACGTCTCACTGTTGACTACTGTTAGCTGGTGCCACCTTTTCTTTTTTTATTTTTTTTGAGGCAGGGTCTCACTGTGTAGTTCAGGTTGGCCTTGAATTCGTGGTGATCTTCCTGCCTTCACCTCCTGAGTGCAGATATTACAGACATACACCAGAGACTGTGGTGTCATCTTTTTAATTCCATTTTAAGGGAACAACTTACACTTAGTTTAGTGCCTTCATCTCCTGGACAGATGCTATTGTTCAGGGAGACAAGGCACTTGGGTTTCCCATCCCACTGAACTTCCCCACAGCAAACACTACACGATCATGTTGTTCCATTTTTTTCATTAACTTTATTTAGGACTCAAACACCACTAAATCACTTATTCTCACATTTACAAAGTTGGGGTTTGCTAGAAATACACACATTGGTTCACTGAGCATTAGTATATTCTTATTACACTCACTCAGATGTTCCAGTGTTAATCCAGTGACCAGTTTTCATAGACAACAACCTTCACAAGAACTAAAAGGTAAAATTATACACAAAACTTCTCCCTGTTCAATTTTTAGGCCGTAAGCTTCCGACCATGTCTCCTTCGACAGTCAACTCCCTTTGGTATGCCACAGGGTAGAGATGTCCCTGGTCTCTTCACATACAAAAGAAATGGAGGCAGGAAAGCAGACAGCTTGAATCTCTTATCATCTGTCATCCATAGTATTGCTGGAGGAGCTCAGACTTGCAGGCCCCCTTGGAGGAGTGCTGCAGCTTTAGCCCATGAAACCAAGTGGCCAGGTGATACACTGTGGATCTAGCAGTCTGTAGTGCAAGGTTTTGTCTGCTGGTGTTTCTGTTAGGTCACTGAGGGATATGGCTAAGTGTCTACCAATTGTTTCCTTAGTCTCGAACACAGTGTCGACAAATTCCATGCAGTCTGGTAAAACGAGTGAGCCTGCCAACATGTGAGCTCATCTGTAGCAATGCATCACATGATGCTGCACCTAACTTTGGGAGAACAATGGAACACTGATATAATGGAGATCAGAAATAACTCCTTACACCATATTGTTTTTTAAGATCACACACTTTTCTGCCTAATGTAACTCGGGCATGCAAACAAAGACATTTGGCCTGGGGAAGAGAACCACTGAGAATTAATATTGCGACTCTTCTGCAAACTAAAAATCACTTCAAAACAAAAAGGTACAGAAACTAAAGTAATAAATATAAAATACTTTTTGGTTTGTTTGTTTTGAGACAGGATCTCCTCATTAGTTCAGGTTGGCCTGGAACTCACTATGTAGCACAGGCTGGCCTTAAACTTCAGCGATTCTCTCGCCTCAACCTCCGGTATGCTCAAATTACAGGCATCCACCACCATGCCTGGCAAATATAAAATACTTAAAGAGACCATAATGGCTTTATGGCTTTAGAAAATGGGTAAGAGAAATCTGAATACATTCTGAAATCCAGAATGTTCTAAAACAAATTGTACTGAAGAACTCAAAAAATTAAAGGATACAACTTACAAAAATAAGAAAAACTGCCAGATATGGTGGTACATGCCTATAATCCTTGTACTGGGAGGCGGAGGCAGGATCATGAGTTCAAGGCCAGCCTGGGTTATACAGCAAGTTCAAGGCCAGGGAGACCCTATCTCAAAAACCAAAAACAAAACAAAAAATTGAAATATTAATCTCAGTTCAATAATTAAAATTAAAATTTATGAAATAAAAACTCATAATAACATTTTTCAGTACTGACAACTCAACCTAAGGAGAACCAAGATGTACCCCCAACCCATTTTCTTTTTTATTTTGAGTTGGGGGGGGGTCTCCATTGCCTGGGCTGGCCTCAAATTTGTGATCCTCCTGTCTAAGCCTCCCAGGTAGTTGGGAATTTTTTTTTGTTTTGGAGACAGCATCTCGCTATGTAGTTCAGGCTAGCCTTGAACTCACTATGTATCCCAGGCTGGCCTCAAACTCCCAGCGATCTTCCTGCCTTAGCCTTCCAAGTAGTGGGACTACAGGTGTGTGCCACCACACCAGCCAGGGAGTTTTTACAGACAGGATCTTGCTATGTTACTCAGGCTAGCTTTGAACTCACTGTGTAGCCAGGTTAGCCTCAAACTTGCAATACTTTTGCTGCAGCCTCTAGAGCGCAAAGAAACAGGTATGTACCACCATGACCAACTTATACATTTTTAGAATACTGATTTTGGCCAGGCGTAGTGGCACACCCCTATGGTCCCAGCACTTGGGAGGCTGAAGCAGTAGGATCACCATGAGTTTGCAGCCAGCCTGGACTATATAGTGAGTTCTAGCCACCCTGAACTATATAGTGATACCCTGTCTCAAAAAAAATCAACCAACCAAAAAGAAATAAAATACTGATTTTTAGGAAACCCTAAAGACATATGGTTGCTATAACAAATGTGTTTAGCCTAGTTTAGCTGGGCATGGTGGCGCATGCCCGTAATCCCAGTACTTGGGAGGCTGACCCAGGAGAACTGTTGTGAGTTAAGAGGCCCATCTGGGCTACAAAGTGAGTTCAAGGCCAGCCTGAACTGCATAATGAAACTCTGTCTCAAAAAGGAAAAAAAAAAAACAAAAAACAACAAAACTGGTTGAAATTAGATTCAGTATTTTAAAGTAAATGTTTCCATATTTTTTTAAAAATTATAATTCATTCTTCATCAAATTTTGGGATTTTTTTAACATCAAAAGCTAATAGACACAGGTATCAGACAGGAGGATCACAAATTAGAGTCTGGGTTAAACAGTGAGACATTTTCTCCAAACAAACAAATAAAAGCTAACAAATAATCAACAGAAAACAAAACTGGAGTGATGGCATATTCCTGTAATCCCAGCATTCAGGAAGATGAGGCAGGAGGATTGCCGTGAGTTTGAGGCCATCCTGGGCTATACAGTGAGTTCAAGGCCAGCCTGAACTATATAGTGAGGCTGTGTCTCAAAACAAAGTAAATAAATTATATTTGGGAATACTTAATATCAAAGAAAAATGGTTAAAAAAAAAAAAAGAAAAATGGTGATAATAAGAAAGCAGAGATAATTTAAAAAATAAAAGATAATCACATACCTTTTAGTAGGAGAGTCAGGGGAAAAAAGATACTAAATCTAAAGAAACTGAGTATTTTACATGCACACACTACTGAAGAACTTTGCTTAAGATGAAGACATCACAATAAGGTGGCAACTAGTCTTCTTGCTGGATCCGTGGAAAGGGTCAAGGTTGGGGCAGCCTCAGATCCTACTGGACTCACTTGCCAGGAAAACCCCCACCCAGTCAAGAAATATGCAGAGCCCTATAAACAATGTTCAGGATGAACTTCATCTGAAAGACTACATTTTTCAAAACGTTTTCATGTCCCAGTGACAATGCATGGACAAGACAGACCAGACTCAGAACCCTGAGTTGATCCAACAAGACCACGTTTAATGAACACCAAAGTTGGCATTATAGGTCTGGGCAGTGGGAGCTCAGAGGAAGAGGATGGCATTGCTCTGTGGGGGGGACACTCCCTCCCTGCACCTCTCAAGAGGGCCTCATGCAGTCCCTCTATCCCTGAGGAGAGCAGGGCTAGAGTACTGGCCTATTTCAAAAGTGAGAAAGGTGAGCCCAGGGCAGCTGGGTTTACCAGCTTGCCTAAAGCCAAACAAGATTTTTGCCCTGCCTCCTATACCCCCTGACATCACTCACAAACAATGTGAGTGGAAGGGCAGGGAAGGATGACACTCCTCTCCGAAGACCAAGCATAGATGTGGGGATGGACACGAAATGGCCCATGGGGACACTGAGAGGTGTCAGCTGCCAACATGAGGGGAATGAGCACCTGTCCATATGACCTAGGTCTCTAAGCGCTACCCCCCCACCAACACATTGCCACTTGGGTGATGCTTATCCCCTCTTCCCTTTGTGTTGCCTAGAGCCTCAGGACCAGCTGAGGGAGGTCACAGGAGAGGTGGGGAGGAGTTGTAGATGTCCCTAAGTTCAGACACAGAAACCTTGAGGGCAGTGCTGATGAGGGGGAGAAAGCTGTTTGACAGAGGAATGGCCACTGACCATTCAGTGGTAGATGTCCCTCAGCACCTATGGCCATCAGACTAGCACATAGCACAGGGAACATAGGACCACACAAGCCTTAAGGCTCTAAGGGAGAAGGGAAAGTACACAGAAAACCATGACATGTAGCCAGCCACAGAGTGCCCCAGGAGGTACTGTGTGGACAGGACTGGGGAGGTATAGGGCCTAGAAGAGAAGTGGGGGTGGGACTGAGATAAGCATGCCATGCTGAGGGATCTGGGTGTGACTTTAGACCAGGTCACTATAGTAATGGGGAGGAGGTGGCTGCAGACTGCAGTGGGCTCGAGGTGGCCTCCAGGCTAGAGAGGAGGGCTGAGACGCTCCCATGAATCCAGGAATCTCGGGGCAGGTGCCTGGATATGGAGTTGGCTGGTATAGGGCTGGTCAAAGAAGGTCCCTCTCAGGTCACTTCTTCAGGTGTGGACTTGCAGTGAGGCCAAGAAAGCTTCAGGCTCTGCAAAAACGTAAGGACACATGATATCCCCTCCAGCCCCGATTCCACAGGCCCCTTGTCCCTGGAGTAACCAGAAACCACAGAGCTCAGCAGATCTTGCCTTCCCCTCTCCCACCTGCAGCAGCAAATGTAGCCTAGGGGAGCCTTAGAGTGAGGTTGCTTCTGGACAGGAAGCTCTGGGGAAGGACTGGTCAGAGGCTGAGGAGACACTCTTAGTGCAGGGATCTTGACAGGGAGCAGAGGCAGGGGTGCCTGTCTCCTCAGATCCTCATGCAGATGAGAGCAGGGCCCCTGAGAGGGGAACATCTTCAAGCACCAGTAGGGGGCACCATGGATCCACACTTGGCAGAAGGTTCCTTCACCTTTCCACCCCTTCTACAGGGGCTAGCACTGTTCTGAGGAGACTCAAGGGCAGCAAAATGTATCCTCTGCCCCCAGCCTCATGGTCCTAGGCACAGGACACCTCCATAGAGAGCCATGGTCCTGGGTGGGGAGGAAGGAGTGTCTCTTACACAAGCAATAGATGGGGCTAGGTGTGTACAATAGCCCCTTGAGCTCCATCCCATAAGCAGGTAGGTTCAGGAGGCCTAAGTCCAAGACAGAGGGCTAAGCTCAGCCACATGAGGCAGGGAAGCCCTGCTGCATGCATGCCCAGGTGGGATTTCCCTGCTCCCCAGGAGGTAGCCTGGCCTTAGCCCCACAACCCCATAACAGCAGCTCAGTCACCGTCAGTGCAGGCTCATCACTGGGTGTCAGGGTCTTGGAAGCCCCAGGCCTCCACTGCAGCAATATGGAAGTTCTCAGAGCAGAGGGGCTGGTTGTTGAAAGTGTCACAGTGTCCTGTGCGGCCCCGGTTCAGGTCCCCATCAATGTAGAGTGCCTGGCCGCCCCCTCCTCCTGCAGGATTGTTCAGGTCAGTGGCCATTCCTCTGTCAAACAGCATTCTCCCCCTCATCAGCACTGCCCTCAAGGTGTCTGTGTCTGAGCTTAGGCAATCTTAGCGGTTGTTTTTATTTTATTTTTTTAAGACAGGGTTTTGCTATGCAGTTCAGGATGGCTTTGAACTCACTTTGTAGCCCAGGCTGGCCTAGAACTCACAGCAATACTCCTGCCTCAGCCTTCGGAGTACCAGAATTACAGGTGTGCACCACCACAACTGGCTTCTCAGCAGTTCTTGCCCTGCAGTGGCCTTGCTAAATAAACCATAGCCCCAGGCCTGGCGGTGCAGGCTGACCCCCACCTTCTAGCCTATTTCTCTCTTCCCTTATCCCTGCTCTACCCACAACCACCCAGGGCCTCTCTCTGCTATCACAGAGGCTCACCTGAGACATCTGTCCCAGGGTCAACAAATGCTTCAGCCACCCACAATCCCCTGCTCCCTCCGCCCTGTGCTGGTGGGGCCCAGGATACTTGGAAGGTGAGGGTGCCCACCAATGATGAGGCAGTCATTGCCCCCAGCCATGAACATGGACTCAGTCTTGGAGGGCAGGTTGAAGTGCCGAGCAGCCAGGAATGGCGAGAGCCGATCAGCAGGGTCTGAGGGGACAGAGTGGCTAAGTGGAGAGGGAGTGCTGGTCTCTGAGGACATGAAGGAGGTCGGCTTGGTCAGCTCCGGGTGCTTGATGACCACCCATTCGTAACGTTGCACCTCCGGCTGCAGCTGAAGGTGAATGAGCAATATAAGTTACTGGCACGCAGGACCCTCCTGGGCCTGAATGTCCCTAAGTCACACTCAAAAATCTGCTATGGACAAAGCCCTAAGCCAGGAATAGGAAAATCATGCTACATAAACTGAGGTCTATCCATCAAAACAAGAAGTGAATGAGATTATTCTACAGGGTAACTACATAATGAAAATAAAACAGAGTCATGTGAGCCAGAGTGCCCAAGGCAAAAGGCCTGCTGACTTCCAAGCTCCCTTGGGAGCATCAGAAATGGTTAGGGGCAGAGAGGACCTTGGCCCACAATTGAGGAGAGGCCATGCTCAGCACCACTCACCCTGAACACAAAGCATTCTCCAGTCCCAAAGAAGCTCAGTTTGCCACCAAATTTATTTCTCTCACTCCAGTCCGTTGACAGGTAAGCGCCACACACCTGGGAGGAAGACTAGGATGAAACTGGACCTTTCTCCCCTTTGGAGTATCTCCTTGTTTAGGCCTGCTGAGGATCCTGAGTCACAGGTCACAGCTGGGGATGCTGTGTGTCAGAGCCCCTACCACCACCATGGGCAAGAGGATGTGGGAGACAGTTGAGTTTGGGGAGGTGCACTCCTTTCACATCATGGGTTAAGGCTGGGCACAGAGGTGAATGCCTCTGGATATTTTCATCTGCCTCTGTGGCCCTCAAACACAGAAGCAAGCCCTACATGTGGGCCACATCTACACTCAGATTTTGGCACCAGGTAGCTGCAGACTTCATCAGGGCTCTTAAGGCTAGACCCCAGGGCTCCCTCTAGTCCCTCCTCACCTCCTTCTGTGTGGTCCTGATGAGTAAGAGGGTCGGCTCATGTCCTTCACACTGGAAAAAGAACCTGAGGGCAGAGATCACATGTGCTACTCTGGATGTCCTCCTCATCACCTCCTACCAACCTCCACTGACCTTCAGCCTGGGCTGGAAGCACAGAGACTAAGTGGTCTCCTGCTACCATTTTATATCCACAGTGGTATAGGACCTGGCAATGTCCTCACCAGATGGTCTTCTCATCTGGCTCTTCTGGGCCATCCAGGACTGTGTGCCCTGGTATGGTCAGGAAAGAGCCTCATCATAGATGGTCCCCCAAGGGCAGATCTGAGTGCCAGGTGCCACAGGAAAGCAAGAACCAGAAGAACAGGTCTCACTGAAGGAAGGCTCGGCATGTCCTTGGGAGCCTGGGCACGTGGGGAGGCCTGAGGCTGTGAGTGTCGCAGCTGGTGCTTGGCTGGCATCCTTGGTAGGGCTGCGTGAAGTGGCTCTAGCTATGCCAAACTGTCTGTATGGCTGCAGACAGAGTCTGAGGTAGGAGGTGGGCAGCTCTGTCCCCATCACCCTGGTTGTGATCCAAGCTAGAGCAACTGAAACCTCCTGTTATCTGAAACTTGATATGTTGGATGCCAGGTAAACCTGGCGAAGCTGCCACAGGGGACAGTGTGCCCTGGGGAGACCATTGCAGGAGAACCACATGAATGACTGGTTGCAAGCCACCTGGCCAGAGGCTAACACACAGCTGGCCCCAAGAAGGGTCAGCCAGGCCAGGCTTATGACCAACATGCAAGGGGAGGAGTACAGGGAAGCCAGGGCCAGTTGCCTCCTGTAGTTCCTCCATAACAATTCTGTGAGCTCCTGAAGTAGAAACTCTGCCTCCCATGCCTACATGGGGCACCAAGCTGTAGTATGTACAGCAATGATCTCCAAAAGCTAGGTGGCCTGGGGATGATAGAAGCCTAGAGAAATCTCCTGGCTCAAAGGCTTATCTCTGGCCATCCCTGTCACTTCCCAAAAGTAGCAGGTAGGATGTGCCTGAAGGGACTGTGCAGCCTGCTTGGGCCTCACCTGGTCAGGCTGTACCCATGCTGCAATGAGGAGAACAGCAGGAGGGGCTGGCAGAGGGCGAATCGTTCGGGGACCCAGGACCAAATATCTCTCATCTCCTTCACACTGACGATCTCTGAGCGAAAGTTCTCTGCATGGACGGCTAAGTGCACAAACTGCCTGGGGAGAACAAGAGGAGTCAGAGCCTGCAATGATCTTGGCCCTGACCATATCCCCACCTCAAGCTCCACAGCTTCTCTTTAGAACTAAGCTTGGAGGGGGATATCTCACCTACTCAGCCAGGTTTATAGCTTGGCTCTAGATGCAGGACAGGAAGAAACAAGGTGAGGCTCTTCTTAGAAGACCCCCTCCCACCACAAAGAGGGGAGAGTGCCCAGCAAGGGATGCAGGTAGGGAAAAAGCACCTTTTCTCTAAGAAATCAGGACAGAGAAAGTCAGCTCTGGCAAGACAAGGCTACAGGGCCAGCCAAGCACCGGCAGATCACACAAGTGAAGCAGACAGACACAGACAAATGAGGCAGTGAGCAGAAGCCAGCCTGTGAGAGCCTAGGAAACAGCAAGTAGCCAGTCCAGTGCTGCTGCCATAAAGGCAGAGAAGCAAGGCATGGAGGTATGGTTTCAGACCTACCTTTTAGAAAGTGAGACACTGAAAAACAGGAGGAAGCAATGGACACAGAGAAGAAAAATAAAACAGACAAGGAGAGGTTAGTGATGAGTACCAAACCCTGCACGTGCTTTCTTTTGGCCCTGGAGAAAGAAAACTATATGCCACCAGTCATACCTACAACATGATCGCAGATCAGCTGCCAAACACCATGACCCTGCCCAACCCTGATCCCCAACTAGTGAGGCCATGTCCAGCCACTACAAGAATGACCATCTAGGGGCCAGGAATATAGTCATGAGTTCAATTCCTGGTACAAAAAAAGAATGACCATCTATGAAGTCCAGAGGGCTGCTCCAACATGACTCTGGGAGGCTAGTCAGGAACTTCTGACCCCAAGATTGTCCAGCTTCCACCTTAGCTGTGGATTTCCATACTTAAGGACAAGCGAAGCTTGTTTTGCTATGGCCATAACCAGGAAGGCCCTTCCTACTTTCCAATGTCTTTTTACCCACATTGGGAACAAGATAGATGGCCAAGAGTCTGGTAGAATGAGCTCATATCCCCAAGATGCATTTGATCAAAACTCTGCACTCTTGTGTAAATCCTTCTCAGCCTCAGGACACACACACACACACACACACACACACACACACACACACACGGCCTTGCCTACCTCTTCTGCTTGACAGTGATGCCCTTTTGCTTCAGTGCTTTCTCATTGGCCATCTGCAGGAGATGGATCTCCTTGCGGGAGAAGAGACGGATGGCAAATGCTTTTTCTAGCAGCTTCTCAGGGGACACGGTCTTGGCAATGTCCTTGACAAACATACGGATATCCTGCTTCACGTTGTCTGATTCAAGGGGCTGCCCAGCTCTTACCTTATGGAAGAACTTGAGGATGGCCAGGGCTACACGGTATAATACCTTGTAGCCTTCTACAAGGAAGACATCAAAGACACGGGCAAAGTAGTTCAGGGGTAGCTCCCCAAAAAGCCAGCGCTGCCAGTCGGAGTAGACTTGCAGCACATCTTCTGACACAGCCACCATCAGCTTGTGGGCTGCCTGGCAGTACTTGTTCACCAGGTCTCCAAATGTCATACAGGATGACTCAAAGGCCAGGAAGCTCTGGTCAATGAGCTTCTTGCTGGGGTCATTGCAGGCCAGGATGCGGCAGGCCTTCTCAAAGCATTCAGCCTCATCGATGCTATAGTGGAGCAGCAAGGCCACCACAGCTGGCAGCGCAGGGCAGAAGGAGATGTCAGGGAACTGGTTGGCAATGCATAGGAGGATCTTGCGCACAGCTCCCTCACCGCGGGCATTCAGGCAGTAGCTAGGCACCTGAGTGTTGTCCACAAACTCAGGTAGAGGCAGGCTGCTGCTACTATGCTTGCCTACAATCTTGCCCACAATGTCACTGTACACACTGGCATCCGGCGTGACTGTGCGGCAAGGGATATCCCGAATCAGGCGCTGGTACACCCTTCCCCGCAAGGTGTGGCTCTGGGCCCAGAAACCCTCTCGAGCCAGCTGTTTCAGCTCCTGAAGCTCAGTCCAGCTCAGCTCCTTTGGTCCCAGATCCTGGATGGCGGCATTCATCTTGTCTTTGTCTACAAAGCAGTTGTATCCTGGGGAGTCCATGGTGCCTGGTATGCCCAGGAGGAGGCTTTGGACTACCAGGTTGAGAGCAAAGAGTGGCTAAATCCTTCAGCCCCCTCTCCAGGAGTTTTCTGCTAACTTGACTGCCATTTCACACCCTGTAGGATTAAAAACCATTTTTCATTTATATGTTTGAAGGTGAACATTGTTATTTTATTTTATTGTTTTTTAGGCTAGACTCAAACTCATGGCAATCCTCCTGCCTCAGCCTCCCAAATGCTAGGATTACAGGCATGCACCACCATGCTTGGCTTGAAGGCACACATTTTAAAGAACATTTTAAAGAAACAAACCATTGTTTGTTTGAATCTTTCTATAAAAGTACTAGAAGGTGGCACATTCCTGTAATCTCAGTACTCTGGGAGGATGAGGCAGCAAGATTGCAAGTTTGAACCCAGCCTGGCTAATTTAAAACTTTAGTGAAAACTTGTCTCACGATAAAAAAATAAAAAGTTCTGGGGATATAGCTCAGCGTAAAGGCCTTGGGTTCAATCCCCAGTACTAAAAAATTTATTTATTTTTTATTTTTTGGTTTTTCTCCGGTACCGGGAACCGAACTCACGACCTTGCGCTTGCCAGGCAGGCGCTTCTGCCGCTGAGCTAAATCCCCAGCCCCTAAAAAATTTTAAAAAAACAAAAAAGTACTACAAAGGTTTCCATTTAAGATACGAGGCTATTCTGCAACGTTATTATGAACTTCAGACACTAACTTATTTTCACAAAGCTCATGTGCTACTGGAATAGGTCACACAGTTTCTGAGTATTAAGAAGCTAGTGGGGAGGTTCCTACAAGGGCTTCAATAGCCTAACTCTGCTACAAACAGTGTTCAGCTCAGGCAGGTTTCCCTTGGGTACTGGGGATCAAACCCACACGTGCTCTGCCACTTAGCTATGTCCCTACCCCCTTTTTAAGACAAGGCCCTGCTAAGTTGCCCAAGTGGGACTTGTGATCCTCCTGCCTCAGCCTCCCAAAGTGCTGAGATTACAAGTGTGTACCACTGCTCATTTCCTTGCTTTTTAAGGCTCAGTGACATTCCATGGTATGGATAGACCACAATTTGTTTACATGTTCACCTGTGAACAGATAATGGGTTGCTTCTACCTCTTTGCTATTGTGAATAATGCTGCCATAAACAGCTATACAAATACCTGGGCCCCTGCTTTCAATCTTTCAAATCTAAGCCCACTTATATGTTTTCACAGGAGCCTCCTCATAGATAATATTACTTAAAACAATGTTTTCTGACAAAAGCACTAAAATCATATTACATTTACTACATTCCCCTATAAAAGCTGTGCCACAGTAGGGCCAGGCCTGCTGCCAGGGTTAGGACCTTACTCCTCAGCAGAATGGAAATTCCTTAAGGCAGTCTGTCTCCAGAGGGGCTTTCGTCTCCCGAATGGCAGAAGTAAAAGTTTCCTCTTCTGGCTCTAAAGGGTGCATCAATAGGCCCACCTGCATCCCCTTGGCTGTGGCCTGGTTACACTTCAGTCTTCCATGCTCCAGTTATCAATAGTTAAGTATTCTAGGCTCTCGGCTCATAAACTTCTGGAGCAACCCCAGGTCCATCCTGTCTGGGTGAAAAGAACTGGCTCCTTCTCAGCGTAATAAGCATGTTTATAAACAGAATGAGAGCTGGACAGAGTACGGCCAACCTTCAGTTGATTGGCTCTGATTCAGGTTGAATATTAAACTAAAAACTTTAAAAGTGATTACACTTCGTAGATTTCCTTCGGGGGGAAGCAGATGAACAGCACTGTTTGCTGTGGCACGTGGTCCAGGGACATGTTGGATTCAGAGGGACAATAAGTCAGGGAGACCCCCTTGTGGAGCTTCCTCCTTCCCACACTCCTACCGAAAAGGAAGGCATGATGTTTCTGGGGTCCTCAAACAAGCCTTGTGCTAACTTTTTCACGGCATTTATTAAAAATGAATCCAGGGTGGTTCCCTTATTTATTTATTTATATTTTTTTGAGATAGTGTCTGGCTTTTATTCTAAGCACAGTGGGAAGCAGGGTAGGGTGTGACCCAATTTAAGTGTTTTTGCTCTTGTACATTCATTTTATCTTTTGAGACAGGGTCTTGCTACATGGTTTGGGCAGGCCTTTAACTATGTACCCTAGGCTGGCCTCAAACTTAGGGCAATCCTCCTGCCTCAGCCTTGCAGCTCGGCATGACAGGGCAGCTCAGAGGTCCCCAGGGCTTTCCCATTGTGACTGCTCCTCAGGTCCTGGGTCTGGTATTCCACAGTTGCTCAGCAGTGTCTGAAAGTGATGATTCCCATGGGTCAAAGCCAGAATCACTTAAGCAGAGAGGTGCAGCTCAAGAAGCTGCTGGGCAGGCAGGATGCAGACTTAGCCTATGATGATCCCCAACAGCCTCTTTGCCTCTTTCAACTGCCACATTTCCCTTCCCCACCCTGTGCTTCCTCTTTCCCCAGCCCATAAACCTTCAGGGATCTTCATGGCCTTTTCCTCACCAACACGTGTCTATTTGAGAGTTCAGGATACCTGAAACTAGAAAGCAAGTATTTCTTAAGAGAGGGGGAAGGGGGGTCCACAGGCAGAAACAGTTGACCTTTATTTCCCCAAAACGTTACGCTGCTGCATTGGGTAACTTCCATGTAATGTTGTTCACTTGTCACAGAACCATTGTGCCCTCAGGCCACGGTGCACTGTCCTTGGTCTGCAAGAGTAAGACCAAAGCCTTAGGGGCCCTTTAAATGGCTCTAAGAGAAACAGCTACACAGCTTCTTCAGGTAAAAGCATTAGTCCTGTGAGACACCTCAGCACTAAATCCCTTACAGCAACTCAAATAAATGCCATATCTATCCTTCATAGTGAACCTCCTTCTGTGTACTCACCAGAAGAAGGCTGCCAGGAGCAGTCAGGGAGAAGGCCCCACTCCACCAGGTGCACAGGCAACAACATGGAGTGGGAGGAATGAAAAGTGAATGTGGGAGAAAGGATAAGCCTCACTCTGTACAGTAGGCAGGAGATGCCCAGGACCAAGCAGCTGGTGCCACACCCCATGTTTCCTCCATCTTTGGCAGCTATAGAGCAAATCCTACTATAACTGGCTGTTCAGTGATTTGGCTTCACAGCCCATCTCATTTAATGGTGAGGACAGACTGATGATGCAGGGATTTGCTTCACTTCACAGAGGAGGAAACTGGGATGTAGACAGGTGTTAGAGGGTCCCCATACACAGGGGACCCTGATCTGCTGGACCCTCTAGGATCCATGAGCTCTTCCCACTGCTACTGTTTCCCTCCAAGGTACAGGTCACACCAGAAAGTCAGCCTGGTCCCACTGTCTCCTTGACAAGTTTGGGACTTGCCTGTCAATACCACAAAGCTGTCCCAAAACACTGCTTCGGGGGCAGGGAGTCATGAGACCTGGGCATTTTTTAGTTCTTAAATGAAGAACATGATTTTCCCAGCTGGATTTAAAAACAAACTCTCTTTCTCATGTGACAAAAATAGAACCACACATTTAGCCTTGGCGATTACATTTTAATACCTGCCAACACTGGGCACTGAGCCTCCCTTCCTTGTCCCAGGTCACAGGGAAAAGAGGAGGCAGCAACAATCATGGCTCCCTTTGGGCCAAATTTTTAATCATTCCACAGACTTCTAAAGAGTTGACTCCTCTGTGCAAGACCCATTGTCACTAAGACAATGAAGACAGCCAGGTATGGTGGCATACACCTGTAATCCCAACCCTTGGGAGGGTGAGGCAGGAGGATCACCATGAGTTTCAGGGAAGCCTAGACTACATAATGAATTCAAGGCCAGTCTGAACTGAATAGTGAGAGACTGTCTCAAAAACAAAAACAACCCAAAAAATGGTGAAGATAGCTCCAAAAAAGAACCAAAACCACAAATGCAGTAGGAAGTATAGTGAACATCCAGGCAGGGTACTGGGAAACACTACAGAAGGGCACTGACTTAGTGCTCAAGCATCACGAAGTGGTGGTGCGCTAACCTACAAAGATGGGGCATCAGCCTGGTATGGGTGTGGAACTGAGCATGGAGGGACAGTACTGCAGTAGGAAAGGGAGGACAGGAAACAGCAAGTTGGAGGTCTCAGGTGGGCAATATCTAGGGGCTGGAGGAGGAATAAGAGGCAGGAGGCAGGATTAGCAGGTGATACCTTTGATCTGTATTTATAAAAATCCCCCTGGTGGCTGTAGAGGACCTGAGGAGAGGATGGCAGAATCTAGCTAAGAGTTAAGGGGGGTGGCACACCAGGGAAAGCAAAGATGAGGCAGTGCCTAGAGACTGCTTATGGGTTCATTCCAGAAGACAGAGAGGACTAATGGTGGTAAAGCATGTCACTCAAGGGTTCTGGCTTCAGGGCAGACAGTGGAGAGAGAATTCCAACCCAAGGAAATACCATCTTGGAGTGTTAGGTGCCAGTTTCAATGAGATGCTTCTTAAGCAAATGCTATAGTGAATGAAGTTGGGGGCAGGGCATAGTAGGGGCCATAGCATAGTGTTTCCCTGGCAATGCAGCACAGAAGGCCCCCCAACACATCCAAATGCTGCCAAGGATCAACCATGGTCCTACCAGGCACAGGCAGTTTGGCAAGAGAGAGACTGGCATTCAGTAGAACTCCAGTTTGAAAAGCTAGAGCTCCTACCCAGCCACAGCCTGCCATACTCCTCCTAGCCACAGGACAGCTCAGCCCCCAAAACAAACTGACCAGGGCCTTCCTGGTTGCCCTTAGTCACTGCTGCAGATCCGGCAGGGACATCAGCTGCTGCTTAGCTCAGTGTTTCCTCTATAGCCTGAGTGATCCCCACGTGCATTCCTGGAAACAGGACAGCAGGCAGGCAGGAAGGATAAAGAAGTAGTGAGACTGGAGTTCCAGTATGAGCATGGGGGGACCCTCTATACCCAGTAGAACTCAATGGCAACAATGGGACAACAGAAAGGAGGGGCAGTGAAGTGCTGTGGCTATGGGGACTTTGTAGAAGAGAGAAATGCATGCCCCTCACAAG